CATTCATTAAAAATAAAACCATTTTCCTTTTCTTACCATTGGAGAACCTGTGAAAACAACTTATAAAGATAATAACATCATGCAGATCATAATTTCATACACAATCAGTAACATAGAACATATCATAAATTCATATTCATTAACAATAACTAATCATCACCGTTTCTCGTTTTTACCAGCCTACTAGTATCCATGGGGATCCATAAGGTTGTCCCTGCTACACGTGAACCATTTTTCTTAACAATCTTAATTCCAGAGCCGTTCTCATACTCCGTTCGGTATGAGCGCCAGGACATAAAATCTCAATACCCCATTCGGTATGAGCGCCAAATGACAAAGTTTTCATATCCCGTCCGCTATGAGACAACGTTCACGGTAGGGTTCCCTATGAATCCGGTCCGTCCACCATCTCCCAGGATATCTAGTGAGGCTATCACCTTGCCTGTTTATTATATTACATCTCTTTCCTGTTTATCCTTAATCTCCATTACCAAATTAAATACAATTACATAAACAATGAATATGCACCCGATAATACAATCATATCTTAAATCTCAAAATCACACAGTGGTCAAGTAATACATTAATACATGCATTTAAAACCATAAAATAGATAAATCAGATATCATCATGCATTAAAACGGTAAAATAAATCAATAGGAATCAACATAAAACAATGTCCGATATCGGGCTCCATTAGCAATTTGTAATTAATTATGCATATTTATCTAACTTGTATAAAGGACGGACCGTATTATTATTTATTCAAACTTCACATCTATGATAAGAAATAGGGTGAGGGGTCCTTACTTGATTCGACGCCGAAAACTAGATGGTTACTGCGCCTACGGGCGTTCCCTGAATTCATTGAATTTTCCTTCGGGAACTGAAACGCGCTTACGGTACCTACAAGTGTCCCAAATAAACCCAGAAATCAGACCCAGGGCCTACTCGGCCAATTTTGGAATTCTGGCATGGCAGCTCCGCCGTGCTCCGGCGACAGTGCCGCCGCCTGCAGTGGTGATCCACCTCGGATTGGCTGTTTTCGGCCATTTTCGGTCGAATTCAGCCAAACTTGCACCGGTTCCTGTGAAAAAACACACTTAGAGCCCTCGATGGGTTGAAAAAACGCAGAAAACCGAAACTCACCCGCGTTGGGCTCTCCGGTGCGGCGGCTCATCCGGCCCACGTTGCTGTTGGGTATTTTGCTTCGGTCAACCTTTAGAAAAGGAAACGGTGGTCACAACGGTGAAAAAATCACATCAAACGGGAATCGGGAAGGGCCTCATCGGAGACGTTTTTCAAAACATCCCACGACGGCGTTTTTTGGCCAATTGGCCGGTTCTTTCACTCCAATTTGGCCATGGGTGGATTCAAAATTGAATTTCGTGCAAGAGAAAAAATTTTTACCTCGTTTGGCGGTCGGAAATTGCTTCGGTACGGCGGCGGGTGGCGGCGGTCGGCTCCCCGGCAACTGGGCTGTCTTCTCCGACGAGGGGCTCTGGCGGCTAGGGTTAGGGTTTGGGTGCGGATGAAGTTATTTATACCCATCCGCTTTTGATCTGGGCTGTCTATCGCTTTTAATTTGGACCGTCCGATCAAGATTAAATAAGGAGTGAATCTGGGCCGTTCATCGCGATTCAATCTGGGCCGTCCATGCGCGATTCAATCTGGGCCGTCCATGCGCGATTCAATCTGGGCCGTCCATGCGCGATGTAGTTTGGGCCGTCCGTGCGCGTTTTTGAACTGGGCTGTCCGTGTGCGCGGGAACGGATTTCAGCTGTTCGATCGCGCGCATGCGGATCGTCCACGTGGCTCCCCCCGTGTGGCCTCCCCCGTCAGCGCCTCTGCCACCTAGCGCGCCCTCGTTGGTCAGGGCTGCTGACCGTGTAGCTGACGTGGCGTAACTTTTCTAAATTGTGTTTTCACCCCCGATTTCCGATTTTTCTTTTAAAAATACGTCCAAAACCCAAATTTTTACCCATTTTCTCCAAAATTGTTTTCAATTAAATCCCTAATTAATTGTTTTTCTTTTTATTTTTATTATTATTATTATTTTCATTAAATTAAATTAAAATAAAATAAAATAAATTAAAATCATATAAATAATAATTATATTTATATAAAAAAATAATAATAATTAAATCAAAATAAAAATAATTAAAGGTTGGGTGTTACAACATGTATGGGATTATACTTCAAGAAGAGCTCAAGGAGAGATGTGGAAACATTCACCAATGCCAATTGGACATGGTCGGTAACTAATAGGATATCAACATCTACGTACTGTTTATACATACGGGGAAATTTGGTAACATGGCGAAGGAAGAAACGACCTGTAGTTACTAGGAGTGATATAGAAGCTGAGTTTGGGGCTATTGCTCTCAAAATTTGTGAAGGTATTTGGCTTGATCATATCCTAAAAGAATTAAGAATTTTAAAATCCACTCCGATAAAATGTTTTGTGACAACCTATCAATAATAAGGATTGCAAAAAACCTAACTCATCATGATTGCACTAAATATATTGAGATAGATCGACATTTCATAAAGGAGAAAATAGAACAAAAAGTGATTCATATAATATACTTTTCTACAAGTCAATAGATTGCTGACATCCTGACAAAATCTCTACTGAAAAAGAAAATTTAAGATCTGAGTTCCAAGCTTCGCATCATTAATATCTATCCTATCTTGAGGAGGAGTGTAGAATTCCTAAACAAAACTGATTTAGACAGATTTGATTCCTAGATTGTAGGAGCCTGGACAGATTTGTTTACTAGATTGTAGGAGCGGAATAAGGAGAAACTAGATTTGATTCTAGTATCCCATAAAATCTGTGTAAATACCTTTCCTTCCTAGGAGAACCAATTTAGGAGGATGGTTGCCTAAATTGTTAGATCATGACTCTTATAACCCTTATGTATATTTGTAATTCCAGTGTATCAATAGAATTAATAGAGCATTATCAAACAACAGTAAATAATCTCTAGGCAGACCTTAGTAATATCTTGCTGGATTCTAGTTTTTGAGCCACAAAGCATAGTTATCTTCTTCCTGACAGAATATCCATTTGCATGGAAGAATAACCTACTTGAATTTAATCTCAATATTGTGATTATTGAAAAATAGAACTTCATTTAAAATAATTTGAGACTCACTTTATTAGTGGTAGTAGAGGAGAAGGATAGACATAAACGTGACATCAAGATTTTTGCATTGCATTGATATGGAATTGCTATGGCATTTAGCTATGCAAAATGGATCTCTAGCTGTCTCTGATTGTTTTTTTTTTTTGATGATTCCTGTAGAATGCACCAGATGGTTCTTTTTTTCTACTACATCCTTGTGCTCACAATCCAACAGGGGTTGACCCTACTGAGGAACAGTGGAGAGAAATATCATATCAATTTAAAGTAGCCGTGGGAAATTAGTTCTTTGATGCATTTCTTTGTTAGCCTTTGGTACTTACATTGATTATTGTTCAGGGGAAGAATCATTTTCCC